GCCAAGCTGTTTCTCCCTCCATACAGAAACAACCACTTGATACTCCAATCAAAACCATCACACTGCCATATATAGCAGGTGTTACTAAAAAGATCTCCAAAATTCTAAACAAACACAAGATCCTGGTCCGATTCAATACAGTACACAAAATCCGTGACCTGATCCCTTCCGTGAAGGATGTTATTCCTGACTTACAGTACCCCGGAGTTTACAGATTGATCTGCACCTGTGGTGACTGCTATATCGGGGAGACAAAACGACATGTCTCTGACCGAATTCGCGAGCACAAATGAGATTTGAAACACGGCAGAACGAATTCTTCTGCCGTAGCTGATCACTGTTACAATGCTGTGGGTGATCACGATATAATTTTCTCCGATACCAAGGTTCTTTGCAAACCCACGGGTTTTTATCAGAGATTTGTTCACGAGGCAATTCAGATTTATAAACACAGACACAATTTTAACCGAGAAGATGGTTTCAAATTAAGCAACCATGGGAAAGATGTTCTAAATCGAACCAAACATTAAACTAATTTTTAATGGTACAGTACATTTTTTCAGGTAGTGGTATCCCAAACTTTCGCAGCTGCTTAAATTCCCTTTTCACACCATCAATATGTAAACTCCCCCTCCCCCACTCGCCAGTCTGCACATGTTCACCTCCTCTACACCATTCACCATGCTAAGTCCGCCAATTGAAGGCTAATTTTTATGCTAATTCCTTTGTCAAGGCACCTTAATTCCTCTCACACAAGCGTAAAGGTCGCAGTCTGAGTGAGCTTGGCTGTGTCCACTCCAGCGCTGTCCTCGAGACAGTCTGGTCCCTTCACCTGATGAAGGCCACTTGTGTTGTGGCCGAAACGTCGTCATTTTTGTTGTTTTATTTTTTACCTACGTGACTTTACCGAATAGAACCATCCTTGCAGTCACGAAAGCTTCAAATCTAGAATTGATAGCCTCTACGGGGAGGGTTCTACCTATCTGTTAGAGCTTTTAACAGACGAGACAAGAAGTCACAGCTCATCGAGACGCTAACCTTCCTCAAAAGATGCCGCGACCACAAGGTAATACCCATCGCCTTCACGCTCACTTCTGCTGCTGTGTCCTCACCGAATTCTAAACAGATTCTGTTTAAGGCCAGCCTCTCTTTAATCTCAGAGAGGATAAAGCTACTCCGTTTTGAACTCGATACTTTAGACAGGACTCTCCTACGAGCTCATTTAATGTTAACACAAAAAATGTCACCTTCTGATTGGAATCACGTAGACAAAATGACTGCTTCTTCTGCTGATTCACTGTCAGTCAAATGCAAAGCAAACCTGATTTCTAAATTCAACCACCTATCAAAGAAGAACACAGTTCCACATATAACATAACTAGACGTCAACAAAATCGTCATTAATCAGAGTAGCACCCCGATTTCGGACAATCTGAAAACAGTACTTGCTAGGGGGCAAAATTTCGCTGTCACCCCAAAACATATACCGATAGATGATATCATTTCTCAGGTCGATGTACCCCTCAAAGGTATAGGACACATCCAAGCAGACGTCGCGAGAGCTGAAATAGATACTATTCTTAAGAATGCTAAGAAACCCGTTAGCAACATCAGCAAATATGAACGCTCTGAACTCGCGAAATTAAAAGAGAGACATGATATAGTCATCCTCTCAGCCGACAAGGGCAATGCCACTGAAATTATGGATAAAGATTCATACAACAACAAAATCCAGAATCTGCTCAACGATGGAAGTTTCTAAAAAATTAAAAATGACCCTACTAATAGCCTAGCGATAAAAACCAACAAGATCATCACAAGTTCGACCTCCCTAATCGACCCAACTAAACGTCCCTCCGTAAAACCTTCTGCTGCAAGACCCCCCTAAATTCTATGGTCTTCCCAAGATTCGTAAAGAAGGCACCCCACTACGACCCATCGTTTCCACGATCAACTCCCCTACCTATAGACTAGCCCGTTTTCTGTCAGATACCTTCCTGCCTTTCACTGGCAAGACCGCCTCAGCAGTACTTAACTCAGCCCAATTGGTCTCTATGGTCAAAGACATTGTACTGTCCCCTGACGATATCCTCGTCAGCTTCGATGTGGTCTCTTTGTTCACCAAGGTCCCAGTACCTGATACCATTGAAATAATTGAAAATTTGGTCCAACATGGACTAGACCCCGATACACCTGCACTGGTTAGGCACTGCCTCAACAATACCTACTTTACTTGGAATGGCTCCTTCTACAAACAAAATGAGGGTACCCTCATGGGATCCCCCTTGTCACCAGTGATAGCCAATATTTTCATGGAGAAATTTGAATCAGACGCCATCCAGACTTCCACCCTCAGACCTTCCCTGTGGAAGAGATATGTAGACGACCACATTAATTCCAGACACCCCGCCATCAAATTCACCATGGAAGTGGAGAAAGATGGCAAGCTGCCATTCTTGGATGTTCTGTTTGAGAGGAGACCTGATGGCTCATTGGGACATTCTGTCTACAGGAAACCCACCCACACAGATTCCTACTTTTCGATTTAAAGCTTTCGTGACTGCAATGATTCATCTTCTTTGGTTCTTTCGGTAAAGTCACGTAGAATGAGAATAAAATAATAAATTGATAAAATAAAATAACACAATAATATTCTCACAACGTTTCGGCCACAACACAAGCGGCCTTAATCAGGTGAAGGGACGAGACTGTCTGGTAGGACAGCGCTGTCCTACCAGACAGTCTCGTCCCTTCACCTGATGAAGGCCGCTTGTGTTGTGGCCGAAACGTCGTGAGAATATTGTGTTATTTTATTTTATCAATTTATTATTTTATTCTCATTCTACGTGACTTTACCGAAAGAACCAAAGAAGAAGATTTCTACTTGAAACCTGATTCCCACCACCACCCGACGCAAAATAATTCTCTCATCAAAACGTTATACCACAGGGCTCATTGCATTTCGGACCAACACCACTTGACCAGTGAATTAAAACATGTGCATCTGGCCCTCAAAAGGAATGGATACTCTGACTGTACCATCCGCCAAGCTGTTTCTCCCTCAATACAGAAACAACCACTTGATACTCCAATCAAAACCATCACACTGCCATATATAGCAGGCGTTACTAAAAAGATCTCCAAAATTCTAAACAAACACAAGATCTTGGTCCGGTTCAATACAGTACACAAAATCCGTGACCTGATCCCTTCCGTGAAGGATGTTATTCCTGACTTACAGTACCCCGGAGTTTACAGATTGATCTGCACCTGTGGTGACTGCTATATCGGGGAGACAAAACGACATGTCTGTGACCGAATTCGCAAGCACAAATGAGATTTGAAACACGGTAGAACGAATTCTTCTGCCGTAGCTGATCACTGTTACAACGCTGTGGGTGATCACGATATAATTTTCTCCGAAACCAAGGTTCTTTGCAAACCCACGGGTTTTTATCAGAGATTTGTTCACGAGGCAATTCAGATTTACAAACACAGACACAATTTCAACCGAGAAGATGGTTTCAAATTAAGCAACCATGGAAAGATGTTCTAAATCGAACCAAACATTAAACTAATTTTCAATGGTTATCTCGGCCTCGCTCTGCGTTGCGTTGCAGAGCTAGCTGAGTAGATAACCTCGCTTTTCCAATAAACCCTCAGAGCCAGGGTGAACATCTGCCTCCGAACGTCATTTATTGCAATTGAACGGTAGAGAGAGGTAAAACTGGTAAGAAAACAGCACAGATACAGCATCTGTTAATACCCAGAAAAACCAACACAATGAATAAACACCACAGCATCATAACGTTGTCTTATGAATGAGACATTTTGTTATTTCAAGTTTGAATCTACTTACTCGATTACGGGTAAATCACAACGAGGCAAGCTGCAGGCTTTATTGTCCACTAGGCCCCACATACATCGTAACAATTTAACAGCATTATAAAGGTTCTAGCGTTATAACAGCATCATAAAGGTCCTTCTAATATTATAGCAATATTGCCAGTATCATAAGAACACAAACGAACTTACAGACAATGCTTCCCAAAGTCCCACAACGGTTGCTGCAGCTGTCTTCACGGAGCTGCGATGTGTGCCGCCATCTTGAATTATGTTCTTAATGGCCGACGCCCGCGTGGTTCAGCGGAAATCTAAAATCGCAACTTCCTGGTCACGTGACCACCCCCTATTTCAAAAACAGGAAATTCCTGTGTACACACGCCCCACATCTGCCGTGAGGCAAGACACTTGCCGTGAGGCAGAACACTCCCCGTCTGGTATCTAGGAGATACCACCATTTATTTCCTATCTCATAAACAAGTGTATAACAACTTCAACGGGTCAACTTATTTGTCCATATCTTTGCGAGAAAGAAGTAGTACTGTCTCGACTATGGGCCTGAAGAAAGTTCTTGTGACACCTTGCTTCGCAATCATAACCTCGACTTTTCGAACTTTTCCATCGGCACTTGGAATCGACTTGAGGATGCGGCCCATTGGCCACTCATTCCGTTTGGCTTGGTTGTCCTTCAGTAGGACGAGGTCGCCTTCTTGGATGTCTGGTCTGTTAGACTGCTACTTGTTGCGCACTTGGAGTGTCGCAAGGAACTCGTTTTTCCAGCGACGCCAGAACGTGTTCGCGAAGCTCTGCACTTGTCTCCATTGACGTCCGTAGAGGTCTGCAGTGCTGGCCTCCTCGGTAGGTGCTGTGACCACGTCTGTCTTCCGGGTAAGAAGTGTAGCAGGAGTCAAGATGAATGGTGACTCCGGGTCAGTTGAGACGGGGATCAGGGGTCTTGAATTAATTATGGCTGAGACCTCGGCCATGAGAGTGGTCAAGACCTCGTGAGAGAGCCGTGTGGACCCGACATCACACAGCATGGAGTCGAGAATGCGTCGAGCAACCCCGATCATGTGTTCCCAGTCTCCACCCATATGCGAAGAGTGAGGAGGATTGAAGATCCATATGCAGCCTTGGTCACTAAGGTATTTCCTGACAGAATCATCTTCGACATTCTCTGTACTGATCTTAAGCTCTTTACATGCTCCAGTGAAATTGGTTCCACAATCAGAACGGAGTTGCTTGGCTGGCCCTCTGATGGCGAAGAATCTCCGGAGTGCATTTATAAAGCTCGAAGAGTCCATGGACTCGATGACTTCGATGTGCACTGCTCGTGTACTCATGCAGGTGAACAGCACTGCCCAACGTTTGCTGCTCGCGAGCCCTCCTCTGGTGCGGCGGGAGATGACTGTCCATGGTCCGAACACTTCGATCCCTACAGAGGTGAAGGGAGGTTCTACACTGAGTCAATCGGCTGGGAGGTCTGCCATTTTCTGTTCTTCCTGTTTTCCATGTAGCTTGCGACACCTGATACACTTGTGGATTATGCTGGCGACGCACCTCTTTGCTCCAACGATCCACAGCCCTGCAGATCGGATTGCTCCTTCTGTGAAATGCCGACCTTGGTGCTTGACCTTCTCGTGATAGTGGCGCACAAGTAAAATTGCAATGTGGCTCTGACTTGGGATTATGAGGGGGTTCCGTTCGTTCTCATCTAATTTTGCATTCCCTAGCCGACCACCGATCCTGAGCAAGCCGTCTTCGTCCATCCTAGGGTTTAGCTTCCTGAGGGTGCTGACCCTAGGAAGGTCTTCTCCCTTGTTGATGGATCTGATCTCACTTGCATAAGCTGCCTGTTGCACACAGCGGAAGATTGATTTCCTTGCTCTGGAAAGCTCATCTTCAGTGCGTGGCACTGTGCAGTGATGCCATCCATTGCAGCTACCAGTGGTGCCTCTCATCGGGCGATGGAAGCAGTCTGCGATATGCGTTAGACGTGCTATCGCTCGCACGAGCGTCGTCCATTTCGAGAAATGTTCAAAATGGTGTGGACTCAGTGGACTTCTCGGTCGCACATCTGTTACGAAAGTTGTCACTCCTTGTCGGACTCGGGCTCTATGAGTCCAAAGGTCTCTTTCGTAGTACATGGGCCACCATCACGTCGTAAGAGGAACGCTGGACCCGTCAGCCAGATGGTTTGCTTCAGCAGAGATGCAGGGACGGACCTAGTTGCGAGATCTGCTGGATTCTGGTCAGTTGGAACATAATTCCATTGCTCCGCCTGCGTCGATCTCCTGATGCGTTCCACTCTATTGCTGATGTAGGTGTAGAACCTTTTGGTTTGGTTGTTAATGTAGCCTAGTACGACCTTACTGTCCGTGTAGAACTTGACTGCGTCCAGTTTGACGTCCAATTCGTCTAAGATCAGTTCCGCCACTTCTGTAGCTAGAACGGCTCCACACAGCTCGAGCCTTGGGATGGTATGTTCCGGTTGTGGGGCCAATTTGGCCTTGCCCAATATGAACCCAACATGCTGGATCCCTTCTGCGCTTGTGGTCTTAAGGTAAGCTACGGCTGCTACGGCCATCATAGAAGCATCTGCAAACACATGTAACTCCTTCCGTTGGGTTACGGAAAGGGATGTGGGCGTGTAGGAACATGGAATCTGCAGCTGCTCAAGTGCCTGTAAGGAATTTCTCCAAGTTTCCCATTCTTGTCGCCGTTCCTCCGGCAATGGGCTATCCCAGTCTTGTGTATCAGCACAAAGATCTCTGAGTATCCAACGGCCTTGAATAGTGACCGGCGCTACAAATCCTAGTGGATCGTACAGGCTGTTTACCATCGACAAGATGCCACGTCGCGTGTAAGGTTTCTCTCCAATTGATACTCGGAATGTGAACGTATCCACTTTCAGGTCCCAACTCAGTCCGAGGCTGCGTTGGATTGGTGGTGTGTCAACGTTAAGGTCCAAGTCTTTCAAGACTTTTGAACAATCGTCTGAAGGGAACGTTTTTATTACTTCTGCACTGCTGGATGCTATCTTGTGAAGTCTCAGGTTAGCATTTGCTAACATTCCTTGCGTCCTTTGGAGCAGATCGATGGCTTCTGAGGCCGTGGGCATTGATTTAAGTGCGTCGTCAACGTAGAAATCTCGCTCTACAAATCGCTTGGCGTCTTCCCCAAACTCCCCTTCTCCTGCCTGCGCGGTCCTCCTAAGTCCATAGGTGGCTACCGCTGGGGATGGGCTGTTGCCGAAGACATGCACCTTCATTCTGTATTCAACAATTCGATCATCGACATTGTTATTGCGGTACCACAGAAACCTGAGGTAATTTCTGTCATCTTCTCGAACAATGAAGCAGTGGAACATTTGTTGAATGTCGGCTGTTACAGCGATTGACTCCTTTCTGAAATGGGTGAGTAATCCTAGGAGACTGTTGGTCAAGTCTGGTCCGGTGAGCATTACGTTATTCAAGGAAATGCCCTTAAATTGAGCACTGGAATCGAACACCACTCTGATCTGATCCGGCTTCTTTGGATGATACACGCCAAAGATTGGTAAGTACCAGCATTCCTGTCCTTCTTCTAGAGGAGGGGCCGCTTCAGCGTGACCACTGTCAAATATGTTTTTCATGAAGGACACAAAATGATTCTTCATCTCTGGTCTCTTGTCCAAGGTGCGGCGCAATGAGTTGAGCCGTGAGAGGGCTTGCTCTCTATTGTTGGGTAGCCGGCATCTGGGATTACGAAATGGCAGAGGGGCAACACAACTGTTTGACTCATCTTGGAAGAACTCTGTCTATTATTTTCAAGAATTCTTTATCCTCTAGCGATGGAGCAGGTTTGTCTTCGTCCTTCGTTGTCACGAACACCGTATGTCCAACATCATCTTTCAGCATAGAGGTTTCTTCGTCGGCCTGCATGGTACAGCCTTGACTTCTATCGTCGAATTTCTCTTTCAGCGTGAAGTGGTAGGGGCACGGTTTGAAGAGCGACGTGCGTCCATTCGTGAGCACACTAATTCTGAATGTGCTTATGTGGTCTGGTTTGTGTGTTCCATCGAGACAGACATCACCTACAATGACCTATCCTAGGTCGAGTCTCTGGGCGTAGGGAGCGTCATGAGGTCCGTTGCGTTGATCACGAACCTTGTGGACTCTCAGCATGTCCCTGCCAAGCAGAAGTAAAATCTGTGCCGCGTGATCCAATGGCGGGATGAACTCTGCTATGGGTTTCAGGTGTGGGTGGTGACGTGCGACTTCGGGTGTGGGAATCTCACTCCTGTCGTCCAGTATCTCATTGCACTCTGTCACCGTAGGAAGGGCTAGCTTCATGGTGCTATCCATGGTTTCCACCATGAGGCCGCCCGCTCTTCTTCCTGCTGTCTCCATCAGTCCTGAGCATGTTCTGAGCGTGTATGGAAAGGAATTCCCACCTATGCTTAGCTGATCAAAGAACTCTGACCTTGCCAAAGACTTGTTGCTCTGGTCGTCCATTATGGCATACATCCTTACTGCCCTTTCAGGATGTCCTTTGGGATACACTCGGACGAGGCATATCTCTGAGCAAGATCTTCCTTTGAAGCCTTCTCCACAGACTTCTGTGCATTTGGTTGTGATTGACGAAGTGAGTGCGGCGGTCTCGCCTTGCTCCCCGCCGTGCTCTGCTTCGGGATCGGAAGCCTTACTGCCACTGGGTTTGTAGTAAAATGTATGCAGAACAGTTGCGTGTTTGTCACTGCCACATTCCTCTGGCTTGATATCTACCTTGCAATTCCTTGCAAGGTGGTTTGTAGAAGCACAGCATTTGAAGCACACTCCAAATTCTTTCAGAATGTTCTTCCGCTCTTCCAATGGCTTCCTCCTGAACTCATGGCATTTCTGGAGGGAGTGAGGTTTATCATGCAATGGGCATTGCTTCTGTGGATCCTCTATCTTTTTTTTCTGGTGGTTGTCTGGACGGAGTTTGCAAATGTCGTAGGAGAGACCTCAGTCTTGTGTACAGAAATTGGCACTCTCGCTGTTCCTCGTTTTGCCATTGCTCTTTCCATTTTTGGGAGATCTGGACTGGAAATCCTCGTGGTGCCAAACATGAAACTCGGGTCATTTCTGGTCTTAGCCAGGTTGCGGATAAACTTTGAGAAAAAAGAGAATGGAGGGAATGCAACCTGATGCTCTGACTTGTATCTTGAACCTGCTGTTCTCCATTTTTCCTGCACGTCGAATGGCAATTTCTCTACTATGGGGTTCACGCCATGGTAGGTATTCAAGAAAATGAGACCTGGTAAATAGGGGTCAGCCTGAGCTGATTCAAGCTCCATCAAAAGATCTCCAAGCTCTCGTAACCTTTTATTGTCCCTACCAGAGATTTTTGGAAAGTTCTGCAACTTCTTGAAGAGAGCCTTCTCAATAGTTTCTGGGCTACCGTAGCACACCTCGAGCCTCTCCCACACCGCATGCAGGCTTGAGGCAGGGTCGTCAATGTTTGCTGCCCGGATCCTCTTTGCGTACTCTGTAGATTCGTTTCCTAACCATTTCACCAACAGGTCGAGTTCTTCGCTTGCAGAGATGTCTGCATTTCGGATTGCATTCCTGAAGGTAGATCTCCAGGCTCGATAGTTCTCAGAGTGGTCATCAAACTTAACGAGTCCTGTGTTGATTAGTTCGCGGTGAGCCAGGTACCTAGCAAAGTCCCCTAATCCTGCTGATCCAGGGTGTGTCCATACTGGCGCTTGTGAGGTGCCATTATTGGCTGCATTGCCTTGCATGCCGTCATTCGCGATGGTGTTGGTTTGTGGGCCCAAAAGGTTTCGATCACGTTGGTTTGATCCCCTTATGTGACTGTCTGGAATGTGGGTCTGACGTAATGCATCCATTTATGATCCCACATGTGTGACACTGAGTCGACGACTAGCTGCCAGGGCAGGATATGCATTTCCACCATTCCCGTAGACAGCATTCGTGTTCATTCGGTGTGGAGATGGCGATGCCTGAACGTCCACCATTTGTTCAGTATCGTTTGGTGGAGGAGCATTGATGCATTGTTCAGACCAGTCCAAAATATTTTTTCTGGTGAGTTGATCACGGTCCTTGACAGGTATCTGAGTGCCAAACTCACTCCAATTCTCTTCCTTATCCAGATTGGCTGCTGCTTGGAGCACCTCTGCTTGGGCCCTTGCAGCAGCTGCTTCTTTTTTGAGCTGTAGGGTACTTAACTTAACATCCAGCTCAATTTTCTTCCGTGTGGCAGTAGCCACTAATATACTCTCTTGCTCTCATGCGGCAGCAGTTGCTAATATACTTTCTTGCTCTGCGTGCTCTGCTTTCCTCCGTGCAGCAGCAGTTGCTATGCTTGCTTCTTCTTGTACGCGGGCCTTTTCAATTAGCATGGCTTCCTCTTCAGCCATGTAGGCAATACGGGCATTTGCTGCTTCTGCTGCTGCGCGTGCCTGAGCTGCTGCCATACTAGTAGATGATGTATTTGAGTGTGCTGAGCCTTTAGATCTTGTGGTGGACCTGGATGAGACAGAGTGCTAAGATCGGGTCTCTCTTAAGCCCTCCACACGGTCTATTGCATCTTGTATCACTGCCTGTACATTATCATCGAGCAGTTCGAGGAAGTTCTCTTGCGTGCGCACTCCCTCAAGGCCCTCATCTGTTTTCATCTTCATCAGGAGGGAGATGTATTTTTAACACGTAGGCTTTCGCGACCAATATTATTCATAATAAAGGTTTTTGGGTTAGATCGCGTTTATTTATAAATGTGTCGTAACCCTCCACCACCCGACACGGCCAATCAGCAAAGATAAGTGTCACGTTGACAAAAGACAAATAATTCACTACTTCAGCCCACCGGTGTGTTGAAGAGTTAATCCACATTTACAGTTTGAGTACGACGTTTCGCTGGTAAATACTTCCAGCATCATCGGGCAATTCGCCAGAATGGTAAAGCCCTCGCTTGCTCCCGGTTTTTATATAGAGCAGAAGAGTGACGTCATCACTTAACTCATCAGGTGCAGTGATTAGAGGCGGAGAGGGGGGGTAATGTAATTATATAATCGATTAGTAATCAGTCATTGGTTATGATTAGTAATGAGTTGTAGATTAGTAATTCTTTAAATCAAAATGTAATGTGTATTATTTAATAATACGCTTCCAGGCCGCACTGAGCCGGTAGCTGTCAGAGCGATTAAAGTTATTCTTGTTCCTCTCAATTTCAATGGATTCTCTAATTAGTCTTTGCCAGTAATAATTAGTTTTACACACCACTGCAACATTGTCAAAATCAATTGAGTGTCCTTGTTGACAAGCATGTTCTGCCACTGCCGACAGTTGTGTTTGAGATAATTTAATATTTCTCTGATGTTCTTTTAGTCTTACGCTGATGTTACGTCCCGTCTGCCCAATGTAGCAGCTGCCACATGAACAATTAATCCGATATACACCTTCTGTTGATAGTTTAGGTAATGCGTCTTTAGTGCAAGATACTAGTTTTTGAATTTTGTGTACTGTACCAAATATTACTGTAATGTTTTGCTTTTGCAAAACGCGGGCTAATTTGTCAGTTACTCCTGAGATATATGGAATTTTTATTGTTTTAACAATCTGGTCGCTTTCAGTAGTATTGCTTTGCGATCGTGATTTGGCATTCAGTGCTCTGTTAATTTGAGCATTATTGTAGCCATTCTGTCGTAGTGCGTCTTTAACGTGTTTAATCTCTCTCACTAGACTCTCACCATCTGACACTGTTTTCGCCCGATGCACGAGCGTCTTAATAAGAGAGGATTTTTGAGCTGGATGATGATGTGATTCTGCATTCAGATAGGCATCAGTGTGCGTTTGCTTTCTGTAAACGCTGTGTGTTATTTTACCGTTTAGGCCATGTCCAAGCAAAATATCTAGGAATGGGAGTGTATTATTCACCTCCATTTCCATGGTGAACTGGATGGCCGGGTTTTGTGCATTGAGATGATTTAGAAAATCATTAAGTGTATCTTTACCATGTGGCCAGACAACCAAAGTGTCATCCACATACCTAAACCAAAAGGATGGTTTTAATGTGCTCGAGGCAAGTGCTCTTATTTCAAAGTTTTCCATGTACAAATTTGCTATAGCAGGGGATAAAGGAGAACCCATTGCTGCTCCTTCCTTTTGTTTAAAGAAATCCCCTCTCCATAAGAAGTAAGTGTTATTTAAGCAATGGCCAGCAAGTTTCGGAATATCTTTTTGTAAACCGGTATTCTTTACTAGTGTATCAAGTAATTTAAGCGATTCCTCCACTGGAACCTTAGTGAATAGAGAAATCACATCAAAGCTTACCAGAATATCATCAGGAGTAAGTTTAATATCTTTAATCACATTCACAAGATGTTCTGAATTTTTTATGAATGAAGATGTCTTACCGATGTAGAGCTGTATTTGTTTGGTTATATATTTTGCTAATTGATATGTGGCAGAGCCAATTGTACTGACTATGGGTCGTAATGGGATGCCGATTTTATGAATCTTTGGTAGCCCATAGAGTCTAGGTGGTTTTGAGGCCCTTGGCTTAATTAGGTATTGCTCATTTTTAGGGATTAATGAATTTGCAATTATTGCAGTGGTCTTACGTTCTAAAGTATTAGTTGGATCTCGTTTAATTTTAATGTAGGTACTTTCCTCTAGTAAATTTCTAATTTTATTATCATAATCGGCTCGTGACATCAGTACAGTAGTGCGGCCTTTATCAGCTGCTAGGATTTGGATATCCTTATTTACACGCAGCTCTCTTAAGGCTTTTGCCTCGTTAGAGCTAATATTTACTTTTGGAACTTTGCTATTCTCAATTATTTTAGCAACCTCATGTCTAGTCATCTCTGCCTCATTATGTGGAGCACTTGCCTCGAGCACATTAAAACCATCCTTTTGGTTTAGGTATGTGGATGACACTTTGGTTGTCTGGCCACATGGTAAAGATACACTTAATGATTTTCTAAATCATCTCAATGCACAAAACCCGGCCATCCAGTTCACCATGGAAATGGAGGTGAATAATACACTCCCATTCCTAGATATTTTGCTTGGACATGGCCTAAACGGTAAAATAACACACAGTGTTTACAGAAAGCAAACGCACACTGATGCCTATCTGAATGCAGAATCACATCATCATCCAGCTCAAAAATCCTCTCTTATTAAGACGCTCGTGCATCGGGCGAAAACAGTGTCAGATGGTGAGAGTCTAGTGAGAGAGATTAAACACGTTAAAGACGCACTACGACAGAATGGCTACAATAATGCTCAAATTAACAGAGCACTGAATGCCAAATCACGATCGCAAAGCAATACTACTGAAAGCGACCAGATTGTTAAAACAATAAAAATTCCATATATCTCAGGAGTAACTGACAAATTAGCCCGCGTTTTGCAAAAGCAAAACATTACAGTAATATTTGGTACAGTACACAAAATTCAAAAACTAGTATCTTGCACTAAAGACCCATTACCTAAACTATCAACAGAAGGTGTATATCGGATTAATTGTTCATGTGGCAGCTGCTACATTGGGCAGACGGGACGTAACATCAGCGTAAGACTAAAAGAACATCAGAGAAATATTAAATTATCTCAAACACAACTGTCGGCAGTGGCAGAACATGCTTGTCAACAAGGACACTCAATTGATTTTGACAATGTTGCAGTGGTGTGTAAAACTAATTATTACTGGCAAAGACTAATTAGAGAATCCATTGAAATTGAGAGGAACAAGAATAACTTTAATCGCTCTGACAGCTACCGGCTCAGTGCGGTCTGGAAGCGTATTATTAAATAATACACATTACATTTTGATTTAAAGAATTACTAATCTACAACTCATTACTAATCATAACCAATGACTGATTACTAATCGATTATATAATTACATTACCCCCCCTCTCCGCCTCTAATCACTGCACCTGATGAGTTAAGTGATGACGTCACTCTTCTGCTCTATATAAAAACCGGGAGCAAGCGAGGGCTTTACCATTCTGGCGAATTGCCCGATGATGCTGGAAGTATTTACCAGCGAAACGTCGTACTCAAACTGTAAATGTGGATTAACTCTTCAACACACCGGTGGGCTGAAGTAGTGAATTATTTGTCTTTTGTCAACGT